CCTTTTGGTTAAACTGTCAGCAAGGAATTTGCATTTGCACTGTTAAATTTTTATATAACTTTAATGCACATAAAAAAAACAGCTGTTTGTTTAAGTGAAAATACATTGATGGGTTCTTTTGCACTAATAAAGTTGTTGAGTTGTAAAGTATGTTGTTAATTAAGTTAAGTAAGTTGTCTAGTGTCAATTATATGGTCAGTTATATCGTTATTGCAAATTTTCAAATGTATATCGTGATAAATATTTTTGGTCATATCACCCTGCTCTAATGACGAATGAAGGCAGGTCTGAAGGAAAAACAAGGTTCAAGCCAGTTCTAGCAACTTGTATCTAACAAAGAGGGTGATGAGTGTATATTGATGCAGGAGAGCTTTTTCTTCAATAATCCTGCCTAAATGCTGTTTGTTTCAAGAGGTGCAACTGTTACTTTAAAGGCAAACTGTCTCCATTTCCTGCTTGTGGACCACTGGTTCAGTTTTCATTCTACAAGTTTGGAAATGGAAGAACCGGATATTTCAGTGCATTGAAGTGTACAGCACATCTTCATTCAAAGTGACAGTAAAACATTTTCATTAGTACAATAATGACAATGCTATTAAGAAATGAAGAAATACCCTTTAAAGTAACACTGGAAACTTCAAAAACTGCAAATGAGTTACAGTTTGTGCATAAGTCTAACACCAAGTTGATACTACAACCAAAAAAGTTACAAAATAACACAAGCACGACTAGCTACATTGCTAACGTGTTGCACAAGTGCTTTGCTGACATTATAAACAGGCTTCTGTGTGCAAACAAGAGTCTTTGATCGGTTGATGCTTCACCTCACGATTGGTGATCTGAACAACCTCACAGTCATCACAGTGCGTATCAAGCTTCATTAATTCATTTAGCTACTTGTTCAACAGTAATTCTAATTTTAATTCCTAGTTCTATATTTAAATGAATCTTCATTTAGGTGAAGATAGAAAAATAAGGGGGGGAAAAAAGGTGTTTTGATATTTGTCCTTCTGGGGGGAAAAAAAGGTTTATTGGTGTCAGCAATTCTTCACACGAGTGGCTCTCAGTTTGTGTTTTCAGGGCTTGCAGTGCTGCTACTATTTCCCAGCCAGTCAGTTAATTGCATCCACGTGGCATCGCAGGTGTAACTCGGTCCCTGATTAGACGGATAGAATGAGAACCAGCAGGCTCGGAGTCCCGTCAGCGAGGGCTGAGAAGCACAGCACAATACGAATGAGTAACTTCACGGCCCGCGAAGCTAATAAATAAACTCACGCTGAGGCTACAGTCCAAAGAATAATAAGCTACCCTGTGACAACAAATAAACAGGTAATGTGGTTCAGTTTGTGTTTCACTTATGAAAAAGGAGATCATACAGCGACTTCCAACCTGGATAACAAGGAGGTGACTGTAACGTAAACAAAGTAAGAATATAATGAGCTCTTTTTGCAGCAAGGTAAATGCTGAATAAATACTAGTATCTATGAGTGGCCAGTATGCTCCAAATCATTCCCTACTCTAATCAAGTCACTGCACATGCTTGTAAGTGTAAATTGCTGGCAGGGTGACAATGCTGGCTGTGGCTGCTTTTGACATATGTGATACCCAAGTGTTTTTCTCACCCGCATATCCATGAACGTGTGGACTCAGCAGTGTTAGCCTGAGGACATCTGCAGCGCTTCCAGGAAACCGTACCATAAACTCATACAAATCAAGTTCTTTTTTCCCCCTATGCTCATGCATCCTATTTTGGTTGCTGTGAACATGTTAGGATAATCTGATAAGCACATAATCGTTCTGCGAGGGACAGTTTCAAAGTTACGTATGAACACACAGGGGACAGCTCTCATTTTAGCTAATCCTTGCCAGGAGGCATTGTGCCAACTGGGTACGCACTGAGACTGTACATGAAGCAAGCTGGTTTTTAAGAGAGCGAGGAAGAGAAGCTAAATCCCACAGATGTCTTTCCTTCTCGAGGATTCTCTAGTCTTAGCCATTTTCACCATCCCCCATTGCCTCATTAATTGTAAATACCACTTAATTTCACCCTTTAAACACAGCACACTTCCCTGTATATGTCTCACTAAGATCTCCCAAAGTGACTATCTCGACTCTCTATCAAGCCTTCTTAGGAAAAAAAAGGAGTTTAATGTGACAGTGTGAAACTGTCTCAGG